GCTGAGGTGAGGGGGCAGAGTCGGGGGCGGGAGCTGAGAGCAGGGGCGGTGCTCTGGGCCGGGTGGGCTTGATCACCCCCTTCCGGCGACTTTTGGGCAGGCCCGGCAGCGGGAGAAGATGAACGATGACCACAACAAGCGGCTGTCAGAGACAGTGGACAAATTGCTGAGCGAGTCCAATGAACGGTTACAGCTGCACCTCAAGGAGCGCATGGGGGCGCTGGAGGAGAAGGTGTGCCCCGACCCGACCCAGGACTCCAGTAACCTGGAATCCTGGACCGCCTCTTGCCCGAATCCCGGGGCCCCAGACCTTTCCCCGTAATGTTAGTTGAGATCCCAAACCTGGGCATTGCGAGTTCGAATCCAACAGACTTCTCTGGTCTGGCTGGTACCATTCTTTCACCTGGTCTAAACACCCCGAGGGCTGAATTCTGGGGCACCCAGAGCCTGAGTTCTTGGCTTTTCCCCAAGCCTCTGATCCTTGGCACCCTCAAACTTTGAATCTTCATGATGCAGGATGCCAAATTCTGGGGCTCCCAGGGATTCCCCTCCCCAGATGCATCTTTGGCCCCACAACCCCCATGCCCTCCAGCTCACTAGTCATGCCCACCTCATTCCCCTGGGGTTGCCTTCGGCCAGTCCCTGGACACTTACAGCCCCCAGGACATGCCTGTTTCAGGCTCCACCCCTCACTGCACCCGTGTCCTCCACAGAATTCACTGAGTGAGGAGATCGCCAACATGAAGAAGCTTCAGGACGAACTGCTGCTCAACAAGGTAAGGAGGGGCCTGGAAGACCCCGGGGGTGGGGGGGATGCCTGGGACCAGGGACACGGAGCGGGCATTGCTGGGAGGGGAAGGCTGTTTCTCGGGGGATGGGGCAGATTCTGACGCGGTGCTTCCAACTTTCTCCCACCAGGAGCAGCTCTTGGCAGAGATGGAGCGGATGCAGATGGAGATCGACCAGCTGCGGGGCAGGCCACCATCCTCCTACTCCAGGTGACAACAGTCCTTCTGCCCACAGGAGCCCCCTTGGCCAAGCGCAACCTTTCTGATGGCCGGGTCTTCCCCACCCCCCACTCCCTGTCCTCCCGAAGCTTCCGCTGACTCCTGTTATTTTTGACGCCTGGCTTCATGACTTCTGACCTTTCCTGACCTCTGACTTCAGATCCCTCTCCCCGTCCCCTGACCCCAGGCCGTTTCCCATGACTCCTGACCTCTCTTCCCTTTTCCTGACCCCTTGGTCTCTGACTGCCATCTCCGTGCCCACAGGTCTCTCCCCGGTAGTGCCCTGGAACTTCGTTACTCCCAGGCACCCACATTACCTTCTGGTGCCCACCTGGACCCCTATGGGGCCGGCAGTGGCCGGGCAGGCAAGAGGGGCCGCTGGTCAGGGGTCAAGGATGAGTCCTCCAAGGTCAGCAGCCACCTCTGGGGCCTGGACTGAGCAGGGGGTGGCGTCCAATGGCTCTGAGAGGGGGCTGGGCTTAGAAACAGGGTCTCCTGGACCCATGCTGTCTTTTTTTTCTCCCACAACTCCATCATCCCCACTTGCCCGAACATCTGTTCACGTGGATATCCTGCTACCTGGTGAGAACTTTACAGGAATGATGAGGTGGGGAGAGGGGTGGGGTCTGGGGGATGGGCAGGGTATAGAATCCTACAGTGGGGGTGTAGGTGAAGAAAGGAAGGGGGCTGGGTCGAGGGAAATGGTGGAATCAGGAGACGGGATAGAGTCATGGTTGGTCGAGGCAAGGGACTTGTCAAGAGACAAAGTCGGGTGGGATCACATGGTGTGGCCAGTCATTTTCAGGGGACATGGGCAGGGTCATGGAGGGTGGACAAGATCAGTACAGGTGAGGGAAGACCCAGCACCTACTTTGGCCACCACCCACCTGGCATCCTTCTGTCCCCACACAGAGACAGGAGTGGGAGCGGTCTGCCCCTGCGGGGTCCATGCCACCCCCGTTCCCTGGGGAGCTGGATGGCTCAGACGAAGAGGAGGCTGAGGGGATGTTTGGAGCTGAGCTACTTTCCCCCAGCGGACAGGCCGACGTGCAGACGCTGGCCATCATGCTTCAAGAGCAGCTGGAAGCCATTAACAAGGAGATCAAGTGAGCACTGGCCCAGTTTTTCTCTGCCCTGCCTGAGCTGACCCCATAGCCCCTCTGGCTCTGGAGACTGATCTGAAGGTCTGAGCGTATCTCCTGTCCTACTATCTTCAAGGAACTCCCCCAGCCCAACTCTCCCTCCAGTAACGAGGATACCCCAGGAAACACCCAGAAGTCTCCTATGTTATGTGCTTCTTATCTATCTATCTATCTATCTATCTATTGTTTTATCTATCCATCTATCTATATGTGTATCCATCTATCATCTTTCTATCTATTCCCCATCCAGTATTCACAATTGCCCAATACACCAAAGACTGCATCCTGAAATGCCAAAGTTCTTAAGCCACTACACCAAGAGTCCTCTGATACACCATGGAGGTCATGGCTTCACACAACTAATGCCCAGAGTCCCCCAGTATCCCAAGAATCTCAACACAACACAAGGTCTCCAATCCAAAACACCAAGAATCTCATCCTAATACTTCAAGAACCTCAACTCAAGATACCAAGAATTTTTACCTAATATAACAAGAATCCTCAATTTATTATAAATCCTCCACTGCCATAAAGTCTACCCTCATTTCCCAGAAATTGCCCTATTTGGCAATTTTCTTTTTTTTTTTTTTAATTTTTTTAACGTTTTTTTTATTTTTATTTTTTATTTATTTTTGAGACAGAGCATGAACAGGGGAGGGTCAGCAAGAGGGAGACACAGAATCTGAAACAGGCTCCAGGCTCTGAGCTGTCAGCACAGAGCCCGACGCGGGGCTTGAACTCACAGACCGCGAGATCATGACCTGAGCCGGAGTCGGCTGCTTAACCGACTGAGCCACCCAGGCACCCCTTGGCAATTTTCTAACAACAACTCTTCGCGGGTCTCAGCAGATATATCAACATGACCACCACTTTCCATCCAAAGTCATTCATTCTGAGTTGAGGCATCGATTCACATACCAAATGACTCCGTGAACTTCCACATCCTAGGTGGACCTCAGAGTCTTTGATCTTATTCTGATCTTATTATGATCTTGCTCTTTTTCTCTCCTCCTTGGAATTTGACCTCCCGCTCTGTAATCTTTACGATTTTACAGAACCATGAGCTTATCATCCTGGTAGCCTTGATGCAGACCCTAATCATCCTGTTGTCCCCCATTGCTCCATGATCTCTGGAACTATGATGATCCCTTGACTCCCATTGAACCCATGAGGCCATGATGAATACCCCAAGACCCTCTAACCTCATTGTGCTTTCCCCAGAAATTCTTTGTGCCCCATCAAGCCTTCCTGGCCCTTTGGGATCCCCAGACTCTGTCCCCCATTGCCTGCCTCTGTCCTCTCATGCACTCTCCCCCCATTCCCTCCTCAGGCTCATCCAAGAGGAGAAGGAGACAACAGAACAAAGGGCTGAGGAGCTGGAGAGCCGGGTGTCTGGCTCTGGCCTGGACTCACTGGGCCGCTACCGCAGTAGCTGCTCACTGCCCCCCTCCCTCACTACCTCTACCCTTGCCAGCCCCTCCCCTCCCAGCTCTGGCCACTCAACACCCCGTCTGGCACCTCCTAGCCCTGCCCGCGAGGGCACCGACAAAGCTGTGAGTGTTCTGAAATCCTTCATTTGGTGGGGTGGCCAGGGGAAGTCAGATACAGGGCTCCCCAACAAACAGCAACAATAGCCCCTCACACCAGTGATTTTCAAAAGTAACCTTAGCTCTTCCTAAAAGTTCCAGCTTAAAGGGCATAAAGCCTGAGCTACTGAGTTTATGAACCTTAACTTGAACTTTAGTCAAATCTGGCCTGCTTTTACCTGTTTTATGCATTAAGTTTCTACAAGGTTTTTTTTTTTTGTGACTAAACATACATTTGAGAACTACCATTAGATCATCAGAATTGACCTTTGGGGAGGAATAAGGTTTATTAGGCCTATTTTACTGCCTTAAACCCAGTTTCCCAGCTTCCAGAATGAGTAACTTATTAGCTTTCCTTGAGTCTGAGCAGATCCCACTTCTGACACCAGAAGCTAGGCTACATGAACACTGGTCAAGCTCCAGTGGGACTCATTGCTGTTATATTTCTGCAACTCACCCCTACTTGATCCAGGCTACCTTCAGAAATGGTACCCAGAACCAAGGCCATTCCAGACACTCCCTAGTAGACATCCCAACTAATGAAGAGCCCCCAACATGACCCCTCCAATTCATTTCAGGATCTCTGCTTTTCTGTCCCCAGAATCATGTCCCCAAGGAGGAAGCTGGTGCTCCACGAGGGGAGGGACCAGCCATCCCAGGAGACACCCCACCTCCCACTCCCCGCTCTGCCCGTCTTGAGAGAATGACGCAGGCCTTGGCACTGCAAGCAGGATCCCTGGAAGATGGGGGGCCTTCACGGGGAAGGTCAGCAGGGACAAAGGATGGGATGGGGAGGGGCTTGCTTGGGAGGATGTATCAGGGGATGGACAAGGACTTGGGAGAAGAGGAGACATCCTAGATGGAGTCGGCCCTTACTCTGTCCTGCTCACCCAGTGAAGGCACCCCAGATTCCCTGCACAAAGCCCCCAAGAAGAAGAGCATCAAGTCATCCATAGGCCGTCTCTTTGGCAAGAAGGAGAAGGGACGAATGGGACCACCAGGCCGGGACAGCTCTTCTCTGGGTGAGTACTCTGATGCCAACCCTGTTTTCCTTTCTCTCTCCCTTTCTCCCTTTTGCCCTTTCTCCCTTTCTTCCTTTCTTTATTCCTTCCTTCCTTCCTTCCTTCCTTCCTTCCTTCCTTCCTTCCTTCTTTCCTTCCTTCCTCCCTCCCTCCCCTCTTTCCTACCTTCCTTTGTTCCTCCCTTCCATCTTCTTTTTCACAAATTCACTTGACATTCATGTGAGTCTAGGATGTGAAAGGGGTCAGACTTAGCAGAGGTAGCAAGAAGGAGGAAGGACAAGGAGAAGGTACTCTGAGCCCTGCCTGTGTGACTTGGTGGGGAGAAGGCTAAACAAATTTATTTCATTTACCTCTTTTTAAAAATGGTTATTTCTTTTGAGAGAAAGCGTGCAGGAGCAGGGAGAGGGGCAGAGAGAGGGAGGGAGAGAATCCCAAGCAGGCCCCACACCATCAGTGCAGAGTCTGATGTGGGGCTCGAACTCATGAACCGTCAAGATCATGACCCACGCTGAAATCAAGAGTTGGGCACTCAGTTGACTGGGTCACCCATGCACCCAGCCTATTCTTTAGTAGAGAAGGAGAGAAGACCGCTTAAAGGCAAGGCACATGGTGTGCTGAAGCCTGCTCGTACTGGCTTGTGAAAGCCAACTTGCAGGCATTTAGTGAGCTGCTTGACATTACCTTGGTAGCTTGAAATTTGTGGGATTCTTTCCGCCATGGAAACCGACAACCACTACAAATCGGGGAATACCCGCTCCCTCCCTGGAGAGCTAGTTGTTAAACATTTACCACCTTACCAAGGCCAGCCCCGGGAAGACATCCCCATTTTGGGGATGTCCCCAATTCACTGCCTGGGAGGTGCAATTGGTTCCTGCTTGGCTCTGTCATTCCCTCTCTGTGGCCTCATTTACGACTCCCTCGGGACCTCTGCTTCCCTGGCATCCTTCTCAGCATCCCCCAACATCAAAGAATCTCCTTCCCACTTGAGACTCTCCAAACTCTGGCCCCTCCCTGCCTCCAGCAGGAACACCCTCAGACGAGACACTGGCCACGGATCCTCTGGGGCTAGCCAAGCTGACAGGCCCAGGAGACAAGGACCGAAGGAACAAGAGGAAGTGAGTGC